ATCGATTCCACTTGGGTGTTACTGGACGCCTCCGACCACTGCTCCACACGCGTCGTACTTTTATCTATTTTAAATGTCCGGAATGGGTTACACTTGTGCATGAAACAAAATAGTGATGTGAAATCACATCGGTAGAATTTTTCTTTGGTTGCGAAATTGGTGATATCTAAAGTCTATATAATAGATAAGCGCACCCACTTGCGTATCTTTCAGGAATATACTTGGATCGGCCCCTGTGGTTGGATATTTTCGTATTCCGCTATGTAGTGTAGTAGTCAAATGTATTCTGCAGTACACACGTCGTTTTTGGTTTGATCCTATGGTCCGAGATGATCATGCCCATTATCATCCGAGTCGTTAAATTGGTGCCCGACTAGTGTGGGAGAATGGCAGTAAAGAGTTGATAGATTTTTACGCTCTAGGAAGTTAATGTACGGACCAAATATGAATTCAATCGCCACTACAATGCTATGAATGGAGCCAAGTGCACTTCTAACAGACTGATCATCGCCGAACGCTTCATCCTTTTGTCCAAGTATGGATGATCACTATATCTTGATTATTTTTTCAACTCAATTTCTCATTACAATTAATTAGGGGAACAGAATTACAAGATCCGAGTCATAAGCTGAAACGTTTGAGATTATAATGTACTCCCGCTGGTCTCTCTTCTGGTGTGAGTCCCACTCTTTTCGTGATATGTGTCTTTCGACTTCTTCCAGTACTGTTGTTGACATTGAGTGATATGGGTGTGACGAGCGACTAAAGAGGCCTCTCTTTGGTTTGTATTCATTCATATGACAAACTTCTTAAGAGTAAGGGCCAGTGAATAAAGCTGTTCACTTATAAAGAAAGCCACGGTTCCATTTTTTGATGTTCTTGAGGCACGCCCTTCAGTAGATGTCGTTTCTTACCAGATGGAGGACTTTGCAGGAATACCTGGCCGTCTTTCATTTGTAATGGTTAGCATCTGTAACTTTGAAACTAACGAAGACCATCAGGAAGTCTAAAGGCTTCGGTTTAGCTTTGGCGAAACTCAGAAAATCACGGGTGTCTGCGAAAATCAACAATAATGTCGAGGATTTTCTGACTGCCGCAATCCCAAGCAGGTCGTCCCATAGGAGTACCCAGGTCGGTGAGGGTGTTAAGGATTCGTAAAGTTTGGAACGTCATTACATGGCTCACGACGATATCGTTCCGTCTATAAGGAAGGTGAACCCTAGAGACTGCTTGACGACCATACCTTTAAATAATTTGGGAGTCGTTCGTGTTCGTTCCCCGTCAGAAGGGAATCCTACTTGTAGTAGACAACAACTGGGAATTGGCGCAGTAAGTCTTTTCTGTGGCTATTCATTAAGCACCTTTGTATAATACTTTATGGATATTTTGGCCTGTAGAGAAAGTCATATTTAATACGATACCACTTAAAGGTAAGGCATGAATAACCACAGAAGTGGATACTAAGTATTTTATAAACGTTTATTTGAGTGAACTCTCTTTGGCATTCCTTGCATCGTCTCTGGACTCCTTAAGCTTTTCGATTCCTGAATTCACTTAAAAATTTTATTGTTGCGCATTACCCTTCTATTCTCCTCATCTTCTAGAATTAAGTGTTGTTACTCGTTCTTCCTTTTTTTCCAAGTTTCTCATTTCGAAGACAGGTGTCAACTGTTATTTCAGTATAGAACTATCGATCGAAAGACCGTTATCAGTACGACAGCTGAGGTATAAAATAACCAGTTCTCCTTTAAACAGTCGAATAGGAAGGGGACAAGTCCTTCCTAGCCATTGCTTTATGGCTACGTTGTATTTTTGGTAGAAATTTACTTCATTTAACATTTCTTCAGCAGTGAGCTCCAGATTAGTGTTCTGAGTTTCATTCATCTCTTCTACTCTTCGTTTATTCAAAAGTCCGAGGATTCCGTGCTTTGAAATGATGCTGTTTTTAGCAATCTGTTCATTTTCCTTTTCTTAGAGTTTTCTCAGAGAAGAATATATTACAAGTATAGTGGACCAAAAAACTTCTAGGGTTGTTTAGATCATGTTTTAAACTTTATCATCCTTTTCACTTTAGATGGCCTGTCTTCGAAAATCTTGCTATCCTCATCATAATTTTCATTTTACTGCTCATTTTTCCACTCGGGTAAGACTTTTTTCCATGAAATCTCGAAGGCGATCTTAGGGCCTTGCCACGTCGCCGCTACTTTCCAACTGCCAACTCTATCACTCTGAAAACAGCACTGATTCCTGACACTGGTTTATTATTAGCTAAACTTGAACTTACTTGATACTTGAACGGCCCCCCCTCACTGGTTGTGCGGGTCCCAGCATAATCACCATTTTCGGAGATTTCCTGGTTAAGTCATTGTGGTTTCCTTGAATCCCGAGGACAGCCTGGGCAAAGTCTACTCCAGTCTACCACCACAGGCAGTCGCAGTCCTGTGGATCAGAGAGGGATTTGCCACCATGCGATTTTGATACCAGGACGGTGGTAGATCCTGGTATTGGTTTACTCTTAGCTAGGCTTCCTGATGGAAACGCGGGACTTTTTCTCAGTTTGTGAGACCCTGTCGAGAGGACGAATCCTTCAGCTGTACATCGCAGTCCGACACCCAGGAATACCTCCCAGCCATGACGAGGCGATAAACCGTTGGGAGGTTAGGTTAGCTAGGCTTCTGGATGCAATGTTGAACCCATCCCTAAACTAGGAGCCCACGCTGAGATACCGAATAGCCAGCGCAGAAATTCGTTTCTGGCTTGAGAGACCCTTCTGCAGAGAAGAACTACCGCTTTTCGTCGCAGATGGACAATCAGAACATTTCCAGCTACCATGAAATGGGATGTCATTGGCGAAACTGGATCTGAAAGTGCAGAATATCTCCGATCTCCGTTCATACGGCATTTTCCACAAAACAAATGTGACTACCTCGATTTCTGTGAAAGATGCCTTCAAAATCAATGCTATCAAGGGCGGATGTCCGATGAACACATCGTTCATCATGCACATTACGCATTTCACGTTTAATTTATCGTGACGAAGGAACAATGTCTTATTGTTGTAAAGAGAAGAACACAGCTAAAAGCCTAGCGATTATTGATCAGTTGGCTTGCTATTCGACGTCTCATTGTTATTCACTGATTTTCAAGTTTATCGTCAACCAGAATTGAAAACAGGCAGGTGTATTACACTTTGGTTTCCATGTAAGGCAAAGCCTCTTCTAATAAACCTATCAAATTTCTCGACTCTGCGATTATTGGAAAACCATTTTCAAGTATTGAGTGGTTTTGTGAGCTCAGATAGAAACTAATACCAACCGACCAAACAGAACGGGTATTGGCTAGCTTAGATCTAGAGTGTAGAATTTTGTCCTCTCAGTGAACCTTAAGGAGGAAAATCCGTGCGAATTGCATCGGTACCATCGTGTTTTCCTTAGCAGATAAATCGACTCGACCAACGATTTTCGACAAAATCTGACTGTAAAGAGTGGATAGTGTAATGCTTTGCTGTGGGAACACTTCAAAACACACAGAATGCTTGTTTTGCAACCATCACATCAGCTTCATCGCTTCTATCGCCTTAACTTATGGTCTGCAAATACGGCGTACGGCGTCTTACTGAATGGTAGAGTAATCAGCGTCACCCAACATGCTATAGAAAAGGAAATTTTTAGAGTTCAGAACTTCAGGTATGCTACAAAGGAAATATGAGCCAGGAACGTCGTGCAATTTAAGAGAAATCACTGCACAAAAATGAACAGTAAGGACCGACGAGACTGCACGTACACCACAAAATAACTCCCTATTCTGATCGTCAGCCTTCTGCGCAATGACAGGAGTGAAAATGATGTCCATAGGGATGCTGTAACATGATCAAAACACAGAAACCGCACAACGCTTCAAACCCGCGATTACCCTTTTCGGGAGTTCACGTGTTATCCACCATACCAACCGATGCCCTCGCTTTGGCTTTTTCTCAGCCATGTTTTTACTCTATATGTGCTATCAGCAGTCAGCTGTCAAATGGAATGAAGGGAAATCTTTTTAAACATTTTTTTGAGTCCCACTCGCAACAGCACGGCTCTGAGGAAGACGAAATCGTCAAAGCGTCAGCGATTAAACAACAACGACGAGAAGTTATACCAATCTCGCACCAACTGAACAAGGGCCGTGCGTAAGCACATATAAATAAACTCGTTTTTAGTTTTTGCCAAAGATGTCTGAGAGAAATGCAAAGCAAGGGCATCGGTTGGTGCGATGAAAAGCACGTAAGCCCTCCGTTGTAACGGCTCACAGCGCAAGAATGTGTTTGTTAAGTAGATAGAGAATTCCCAATCTGATAGAGGAATTCTCTATATCCGTAAGGATAATCGGGGGGTTCGAAGCCCACCTCTGGTTACCAGTTCTGCTCATATCTCACCAGTGGTTGTCTTGCACATTATACACTGCCATGAAAAAAGAATAGGCGGAGGATAAAACTTAAGACGTTGATGCCCTCAGTGTTGTTCTACGTACGACACTTCATAACTTATAGACTCTATCTTATACCTCATAAGCTGATGTGTTTCGCCTTTGTTCGACTAGTATGGTGATCTGCGCCGCTTATGAGAATGGCTCATCTCAAAAGTACAAATGTCGCATATGAAAAGTCGGTGTTCTATCCTAGACTCTTATATTTTAAGACGGTAGATTCGATGACGGTTCTTAACTGAATATTCCACATTGTCTGTTAGTCATCGCCTATTACCATGTCGCAATGCTCAATAGTCAGTCAGCATTTTGTGGCTGGCACTTGTGGCAGTTGTCCTGAGGACATAAAAGTATCCTTTTATTTAAGGATGTCTGTTTTTTATTTGCTGATCACATACACCGTCAAAAGATTGGATTGTTCTCAAGCCCTCGACACAAGACAACTGTTAGAACCTTTTTTCGCCAAGAGTACCGTTTATGCGTAAAGTGTGTTTTCGTTGCTTTCGTACTTTTAAGTGCCTTTACACTAGATAATGAACGACACACGGCTAAGACGACCACGACGTCTTCGAAGCATTCGTCGCACTATTCCCGAGAAGAACAACAAGAGTGGACTTGGAACATCGATGAGAAAGTGCGGCCGTTAACTACTTTCTATCAAAGAAAATTAATGTGTGTAAAAATATCTCTACAATAGCATTTAGATATCCACTTTTCATAAAATCTACTTAGCCATGGATACGGCCGTTTAACGCGATCCTCAAATATATATCATCTCATACACTGGCTGGCGTTCATTATGGAGGCTGCGGTCTTCTTAGGGTTCACTCGATCGTTCTTTTCGTCGAATTGCCGTCAGCTTTCCCCACCTCATAGTTAAACAACGTTTAATTCAATTAAGATATGTATTTTGCTAAATTACCTTATTTTTTCTTAGATATTTGTTGACGTTACCTTTGCGTTTCGAAGAGATTCCGCTCGTCGATTCATCGGTTTATAGCACTACTGCGCTTGATCTCTTTGTGATAGTCCTAAGACTTCATTATCCACTGTATCTTTGAGGAGGTATTATCGCTGTGTTAAAAACCTTGTTATGGAGGTGCCAAGTTGGAGAAGATGACATGCAGTAAACTCGTACAGTACAAGCTACGGTATGAAACGAAGCAGTCAACTGTGTGATCGAATGACTGTCGGAGTGTTCTTGCTCAAGTGGTTGAACATCGGCCAAAGTTTTTGTGGTACAAAGGCTCAAGTGTATGCAAATTCATTTCAGAACTATCTCATCGGATCAACTTCTAAGAGAGGAGCACGATAGTAATGATTTTCCACCAGACAGTTCACCTGGCAGTGTGGCGAGCAACTCATCAACGGAGAAAAAGAAGTAGGTGAAATGGTATTTCTGCAGAATCCTAATGATTTTAAGAACATTAAATTGAAGGTAGAACTAAGGGAAGAAGATTTAATGACTCATTCGATCCAATGGGCACGTGTGGCGCAGTGCTCGGAGGCGCTCTGCAGCACACACATGGCTTCGATTCCCGCGTCCATGGCCCACCGAGCCTTTCATCCCTCCGCGGTCGGCAAATTGATAACAGACTTGTCCTGGAGAATAACAGTGCTGGCTCGATACATCGGTAGGCCACCGCGAGTCATTTTAAAGGTCAGATATGCATTCAATCACCTCTAAACGGTGTTTAATGAAGTCGAATGCATGGCGCAACCCTGAGGGATTGATCAACGCCGAGAGCTTTATCCTCTTTTTATCGATCCAAAAACTCAAAACTACAGACTGACTTTAACTGTAGTTATCTATTTTCTTCTAATTTTACCTTGAGTTCTTGTAACGGATTTTGTGATTTTTTGCCTCTCAGGCCGAATACCTTTACCTACAAAAATGGTTTTTTAATCTGTGGTCTGGAAAGAAAAGGCATACTTTTTGGACTAATTTGATCTGATTTCTCAAGAATTAAAGCATTGAGTTTAGTAGCCGAATGATACGGCGAATTTTCAGTGACAGTGAATCACCATCTCGAATACTGGCGAAAAAGAAGAAGTACTTCTCGGAAACATCGAGCAACAAGAACATTTTCAAGAAGTTGATTCATCCTTCGTATCAGGAACGAGCTGAGCAGTATCGCAGACTGTTTGGCACGAAAATTGGACCTGAACCGGACGAGTTTCTCGCATGTGAGTAATCATTTCGTTAAGCGCAGAAATGCAAAGTACGAAAAAAAAACGGAGAAGCGGTAAATTTCGTGTACGCTACTAGCAACTGTCTGTCCTTGTTCTTGGGTGTCGAAGTGCGTTATCGCGCGGCGGGATCATCCACTCGGTAGAGACTCTCGTCCTGAGAATGTATTCCACATTCGCCGTCAGAAGAGGGAGTAAAACTACACCCTGAAAGTATTCGACGAGCTTCTCGTGGTTACCGTCTTCGTCAAAATTAGTGAAAAAGTCAGGGTTATCGCACCAATTTATTGTGCTTGTCAAGTCTCTTGTGCTATTTCGTGTGCTAAAACAATAAACTAAACGGATTACAGGGTTACAGATGATTTAGGCAAAAGTGGTCAAAGACTCTCGAAAGGTTACCACCCTAGAATCATGGGAAATTTTTCGCAGATTCTAGAGTTTGCTTTGTGCCCCTTGTTGTTGTGTAACCAGTGGGGATTTACTCTCGGAGAACTCTCTACAGAAAAAATTTTACATTTCATTGGCCGGATTGAACCCCTTTCCATCTGTTGCGCACTTCGAAGTAGCTTTGGGGGAAATCAGTATTTGTTCTCATTCCTTGTCGCAAATTTTCATTTTATTTCAGTTCTCTTAAACATTTTTATTTATGGTTTGTTGAAAATCTCTTTAACTGTTTTTTTGCTACATTTAAAACATTCGCGATGGTGCTTAATTTTGTTCCGCTACCATGTGAAACGATACTTCACTTTTTTCCGTGCGCATTGAAATCAACGCATACCGTTCCGTTGTGTCTCCGAACGAAGGAGGCGAAGTCGAGTGCACCCGGTTATTAGCAACGGTCGCTGTGTTTCCATGTCCATATAAAAGACAACAATTCCCTACAGGACTCATTAGTGGGTATTTGTGCAGCAGAGGGATCTTAACTCAGCAGCACTGCCTTTCACGGAGCGAATAAGCTTGTCTGGAAAACAGTTTCTTGCAAATTAAGATATGTTCGAAAGCTTTTTTTTCGGACCATGTCATCATACCACCTACGATTCGGGACCTATCGATTAAAATACAAAAAACGTAGCAATAAAATATGTATAGCAAAATAAGCAGCGGGGAACAAAATGCGTTGAAATCGATGCGCATTGTCGGGAATTTTAAAGGTAGTTGACATTCTTAACCTTTTCATTTACTGCCTTTTTCTTTTCAATAGCAGGGTATATTGCAAAATATAACTTCAATGATGCTGAGATATTCGCAAAACTCCGGACCGCAGATGTATGAGGTGGGGAACGAAGCTAGCTGAGAGACAGGCAGAACGAAGCACCCGGATGGTGTGGTGATGAAGTGCGCTACTCCCCGGTAAGGACAATAGCGCGCGTTTGTTCCTCACCGCATACACCTGCGGTCCGGAGTTTTGCAAATATCTCAGCATTATGTACATAGTTGTCATTGTATTTTATGGCTAACTTTTCTCTGATGCCACATAATCATTCATGTTTTAGCGTTTTCATGTGCGTATCAGCGAGAGATCCTGTGCCAGGGAAGGATGTATATCTCCCAACGTCATGTCTGTTTCTATGCAAACATTTTCGGCTGGGAGACGAATTTGGTACTTCCGGTGGCCGATGTGGCAGCGATCACCAAAGAAAAAGCGGCTCTGATTTTTCCAAACTCACTTCAGGTCTGGAAATTGCTAGATTAATAGAGTGTGCCTCCTTGATTGAGTGCATAAAATACGGATTCTATAAAACACTGTTGAAGTAACATTTGACGGTTCATGTGAAAGACCCATCGTCGCTCTTCGATGTAAAATATCAGTTGTATACCTTCAACTACCTGCCCTCATTTACTTAAATAATAACCATTAAAATCTTTAACAATCGGATAAGAGAACAAGTGGTTTACTGAAGGCCGTCAAGAATAGGTTATCGGTTATCTTTGTGTGTGTGTGTGTGTACGTCTGGGTGTGAATAAATGCTCTGATTAAGATATCATGACCCAGGAAGAAGAAAAGAAAGGCTCCGGAACACAAGGAAAAGTGGGAAAGGTGATATACAGATAACATCTAATTTAATATCTATGACAACAGGGGTACAGAAGGGATAATGAAGGGCCACGAAGTTAACAACGAGTTCGACAGCATTACTGAGAGCAAACCTAAGCCACGAACCGCTGCTTCCATGGAAGTAGAGTAGTGGTCAGTTCTGTACACCTTTCTTCCATCCACTGGGTGCCTCGACTGCCTGTTTTCAGGAACAGGAAACGCCTTGAAACGTTACTCGTAGGCCCAAATACTAAGCAAGATATCTTTCTACTTCTGTTCAGCAAACACGACGTGCTATTTTATTTCTTTATTTACGCACCAGCTGACGTTTCGGCGGATTTCGCCTTCCTCAGAGCCTGGAAGAGTCAAGTTGACAGCAATCCATTCAACCAAATACCTCCATACCCAAACAGAGAAAACGCTAAACCAAGATTTCATTCACATTTAGCATAGCTCTGCACACTCACCGCTTTCTATGAGTCTTCCACTGAGTATGGCGCGTGAAGACCGACCGCACAGAATTCACATGGAAGCGTAATGTGCCCCTCCCATCAGAATAACAGGTTTATATACTGTCCAATATCACGCGTGATAACAAGGCATTCCTCCCTGCGGTTCATTTTCGATTTCTTGGAATTAATCCAGAATGCCTCTAGAGTTTTGCGCGCTTGTGTTCTCGATTCTTGCGCGAGGATCGTAACCCTTACTTCAAAATCTTCTCCGTTATGTCTCTGCGTCCTCTGCGTGCCTAGTGGAGTACTTAGCTTACGTTTGCCGACTAGGCGTTCTTTTATACGTACGCAGAGTGTTTCGCCAACGTATTCGTCCTCGCACGCTTTACAAGAGATCAGATAGACTGTACCCGAACTCATGTAGTCACCGTCTCTACCATTGGAGCAAATTATACAATTTTGCGTTGCACATAGACAGTCGTATAGGCGGTTACGAACTAGCTGGCGCCTTAGATTACTAAAAAACAGAAGTAGAAAGATATATTCAATCAATGCCGAGGTTAATAGAAGGTCGGACTTAGGAGTTACTAAGCAAGATAGTTATTTCTTGCGTAGGTAAAGTGATGGCAATGGTTATAGCATTAATACTAGAATGTTATTAATGGCTTCGTTGTTTATTACCTTGAAGAGGATTATTTCAACGTTTCACGTTATGATGGGTATACTTTCACTGTTTCAGATTGAAATGACCGATGAAAGCCGACATTTCTTCGCGTCTTTCGTGAATCGTGAGAAATCGCTTACTACACTGCTTAAAGTACTGGAGAAAATTCAGATGGACGAGGTATAAATTTATCTACAAGTGGTTTTTTCTGGTTATTTTCGATGATAAACAGCATTTCACACTTTTTTCGTACTGACATCTTTTTATGTCCTGTTTCTACTTATCATTCATATTTTCTTGGTTAAATGAATCGGTCGGCTTCACCTACCATGCTGGACCATTTGCTTGTTTCCCTCGGCGCTAATGGAAATGATCTCCTTCATACTTGATGACGTCTACTAACACCGCCTTTTTCATAGAAAAACACAATACAATACAACACTAACTGACGTTTCGGCAGTATCGCCTTCTTCAGAGCCTGGAAGGGTGTACTGATATACAATCTACTAGGCCAAACGCTTCAATAACACTTACAAAAAGACGAAGAACTCTCTGGTAATTACACAATCAACAACTTCTCGAAAAACCCACCGCTTTTTCGTGACTTCCAATGAGGAAGTTTAGAACAGCTGATTATAGTCGCATGTGGTTGACGACTGCACCATCCCACATCAAAAATCGATGCGAACGTACGGGATCAGGTCGCGTATGACCTCCGGGCATTCGTCCCTGCTATTCATTGTAGGGTTTTTGGCATTGATCCAAAAAGCCTCTAGGAGTTTTCGCGTTGGTGTTTTGGACTCCTGTGCAAGGATATTGACTTTTACTTCAAAATCGTCTCCGCTATGCTTTTGTATCCTATGCGTGCCTAGTGGGGTGCTTCGTCTTAGGTTTCGTTTGCCATCTAGGTGTTCTTTTATACGGATACACAAAGGTCTGCCCGTTTCGCCAATATATTCATCTCCGCAATTATTACAAGAGATCAGGTATATCGTACCTGAACTCATGCAATCACCGTCCCTGCCGTAAAGGCAAATTACGCAATTTGTTGTTTCACACAGACGGTCATACAGGCGGTTGCGAACTAATTGGCGACGTAGAGTAGTCGGTGGTATTTCAACTATCGCTACCGATTCCTCTAGACCTGCCCTTCTTAAGCATCGTTTTATAGCTGCGCTTACTTCATCGCTTATAGGCAACATAAACGGGATTTTGTTTTGGCCAAGTGTTTCGCGTGGGCGCGTCGTTCTCCTTGTAAACTTATCTCGTGGGGTTACTATTTCGTAGCCATTGTAGATGGCTATTTGCCGAGCCAAGTCGCGCGAAGGTTTTTCGAGAAGCTGTTGATCATGTTGACCAAAGAGTTTTTCGTTTTATAAGTGTTATTGAAGCGTTTGGCCAAGTAGATTGTATATCAGAATACGCTTCCAGGCTCTGAAGAAGGCGATACTGCCGAAACGTCAGCTAGCGTTGTATTGTATTGTGTTTCTCTATGGAAGTAAATGTATGCTGTTTAAAAACCTCGCGATTGCTGAACAAGAAAACGACACATTCGTATTCCAATGCCGAGGTTAAGAGAAAGTCGATCCTGGGAACCGCCTTTTTCTTCGAAGATGTTCTGCTCTTAGTTGAGAATTTAGCACCTTGGTTTTATATGCAGTCACATTCTTGAAGATGCTTCTATCCTATGGCCACTCTTTTGTACTTTTCGCTCGTCTATCGTCGATCCCTCTCACCACGTGTTTGGCTGACTTGTTTTTTCGTTTACTTCTCGTTCACTGTCGTTAAGCCCTCCATTAGATGGCTCGTTGACTGGATCCTGCTTCGTCGGCGAAGGTGTTTACTTCCCAGAATCACAAGGATGGGATATTTTCTGAAGCTCCGGATCACGGAGTACGATCTGATATATTTCATAGTGGTATTTCAAAGGTTACTCAAATTAACCTTTTATTTTCTGCCCACTATAAATTTTCACGGTACGGCATGATGTGAAATACAACCACAACGATGCTGAAGTATTCGCAAAGCTTGGACCCCGTGCCAATTCAAACCACGATTACCCTTTCCCAGGGCAATCCCGCTGATGGATGATTGCTGATGGCAGCGTTAGGTAGAAAACTAGCCGAGAGAAACGCAAACCAAGGACTCCGTGGCGCAGTGTGTAATACGCGAGCCCCCTAAAAGGATAATCGTTGTTCGATCTGGCCTGGGGTCCAAGTTTTGCGAACATCTCAGCATCGTTGTGGTCACTTAAGTGTTGCGTCGATGGTGTGCAGAATCGTTGATTTGATTGAGATATGAAGTAAATATCTACTGTCCGAGAACCGTATGTTCTCAATCGTTTTCTATTTCATCAACGCGCTTGCTGTTTTCCTCCGAGAATAGTTCACTTCATTATACACAAAGGCAAGTGAGCCGGAAACGTCAGCAGTGACGTCGTGCCGTGTCCTCATAAAATGCTACTATAATCGTTGCAGTGGCGTTCAAGTTCTTTATTCTTGTCAAAATCTAATTATTTCTTTAAGAGACTCATTTTTAATCGAAGTTTTTGCGAAACCCAGTAAAACGACCTATACGAATTTCTCATAGGCGTGCATTCAAGGGTCAAATCGGACACGTCAATTAGTAGGTTCTCTAAATCACCATCCTTCGGTGGCATAGCCGGTAATGAAGTCGTCAACTGTTCTTCGAGTCCTTCTTCTTGAAAGCATGTAGGATGTCATGTGAATGGCAAAATCTGAGGACACCTCATGGGCTCCAGTCCGAAAGAAGTTGATCATCATCTGGCTTCGTAGCTTTCTCCCCCATTCTTCTAGCCTCGAGTCGAATCTCAAGGAGGAAATTCTACTTCCGTTACCATCACTTATTGGAGATCGTTTGAATTCTCACTTTGTCAGTTTTCACCTTACATTAAGTGTTTCAGTACTGTAAAATTCTCACCTGAAGTTAGTTTCATTAACATTAAAATATTATCATTATTACTTGCTAAAGATCGTTTTTAGGTAATGTCGCCTGAAGAACTTTGGGAATACATGAACACCGAGAACCAAGGGAAGGTATGAGAATTTCCTTAATTTCTCTTTCTCTTCCACATTTCATTCCGTTCATGCTTCGTTTTTTTTCCTTTTCTAACTTTGCAAGTAGAACTTGGACCTTTTGAACTGCAGAGAAAACTCTTTTTTTATTCACCCTATGATTTTTATTCCAGCTTTATCAGTTTTTTGTAACAACATGGAACATGAGATTTTCCAGAGATATCAGATAATTCCCTACTTGGATCCATAATTGGTCAATTTGCGCAAATCACGTCAGGCTAAGGATAAATGAATTTGAACGTTTAGTTTAGTGCAACTGAATTTTCTATGCTGAACGGAAAATTAAATATACTATACATTGTCGTCAATCTTTATTTACTGCCTACTAATTTTTAACGGTAGGATATTATGTGGTATATAACCATAATGTTGCTGATCTCATGCCGACTTGTGCTCCACAGATCAATCCTGTTGACGGCTGATTGCTGATAGTGCTTATAGGCCAAT